GCACATTCACATGTGTGTGTTTGTATATGAGCACATTCACATGTGTGTGTATGTATGAGCACATTCACACGTGTGTGTATGAGCACATTCACACGTGTGTGTATGAGCATATTCACACGTGTGTGTTTGTATATGAGCACATTCACATGTGTGTGTTTGTATATGAGCACATTCACATGTGTGTGTTTGTATATGAGCACATTCACATGTGTGTGTATGTATGAGCACATTCACATGTGTGTGTATGAGCACATGTGAAACAGTAGTGTGTTATGTTTGTGGTCGTCGTGGAGACTCACGGTGATGAAACGCCGCCTCGATGTCTTTGGCAGGAGCTGAAACGGACCAATCAGAGAGTGAGCTGAGAGAATGAGGAAGTAAACCGTCCAATCAGCTTCAGAGCAGAAAACATGACCCGAGGGAAACACCGACACTGGAGGTTTTATCTTTATCTGAGGTCAGAGCTTCACTTCACCACAAAACACCACAACAAACACAAACACCACAACAAAACACAAACACCACAACAAACACCACAACAAACACAAACACAACAACAACACAAACACAACAACAAACACAACAACAAAACACAAACACCAAAACAAACACCACAACAAACACAACACAACAACAACAACACAACACAACACAACAACACAACAACAACACACAAACAAACACAAACACAACACACAAAACACAAAACACAACAACAAACACCACAACAACAAACAAAACAACAAACACACAACAACACAACACACAACAAACAACAAACAAACAACAACAACAAACACAAACACAACAACAAACACAAACACAACAACAAACACACAAACACACACAAACACAACAACAAACACAAAAACAACAACAAACACAAACACCACAACAAACACAAACACAACAACAAACACAACAACAAACACAAACACAACAAACACAAACGTCGCAACAAATACAAATGCGGCAACAAACCAAAAAAGCCACAACAGAAGTGACCGTGTGACTCGTTGTGACTCTATTTTCCGACTGATCGATCAAGCGGCAAGTGAAGAAGAAGAAGAACAACGAGTCCCGCGGTCACTTCTGTTGTGGCTTTTTTGGTTTGTTGCCGCATTTGTATTTGTTGCGACGTTTGTGTTTGTTGTGACCCTCTCGGCTTTATCTCTACACAGAAGTACTTGAGTATTTATCTCTACGCAGAAGTACTTGAGTATTTATCTCTACGCAGAAGTACTTGAGTATTTATCTCTACGCAGAAGTACTTGAGTATTTATCTCTACGCAGAAGTACTTGAGTATTTATCTCTACGCAGAAGTACTTGAGTATTTATCTCTACGCAGAAGTACTTGAGTATTTATCTCTACGCAGAAGTACTTGAGTATTTATCTCTACGCAGAAGAAGTACTTGAGTATTTTATCTCTCTACGCAGAAGTACTTGAGTATTTATCTCTACACAGAAGTACTTGAGTATTTATCTCTACGCAGAAGTACTTGAGTATTTATCTCTACGCAGAAGTACTTGAGTATTTATCTCTACGAGAAGTACTTGAGTATTTATCTCTACGCAGAAGTACTTGAGTATTTATCTCTACACAGAAGTACTTGAGTATTTATCTCTACACAGAAGTACTTGAGTATTTATCTCTACACAGAAGTACTTGAGTATTTATCTCTACGCAGAAGTACTTGAGTATTTATCTCTACGCAGAAGTACTACATAAGTACTTGAGTATTTATCTCTACACAGAAGTACTTGAGTATTTATCTCTACGCAGAAGTACTTGAGTATTTATCTCTACACAGAAGTACTTGAGTATTTATCTCTACACAGAAGTACATCGGTGTTTGTCTTGGCGCAGACGTTCAGGAGAGTCGTCCTGGCACGCGGCTGCGGGGGCTGGACGATCACCCATAAAACGAGTAAAAACAAGACATGAGATTATTTGCATATTTGCAAAACTGTGTCTAAACACACAGTTTCTTTTGTCTTTGTTTTCATCTTTGTTTCAAGTCTAGATGTTCCGGGTGACAGACGTTTATAAATGTGTTTATCTTCAGTCACACTGTTTGTGTTTGTTTGTGAGTGTGTGTGTTTGTGTGTGTGTGTGTGTTGTGTGTGTGTGTGTGTGTGTGTGTGAGTGTGTGTGTGTGTGTGTGTGTGTGTGAGTGTGTGTGTGTGTCTGTGTGTGTGTGTGTGTGTGTGTGTGTGTGTGTGTGTGTGTGTGTGTGTGTGTGTGTGTGTGTGTGTGTGTGTGTGTGTGTGTGTGTGTGTGTGTGTGTGTGTGTGTGTTGAGTGTGTGTGTGTGTGTGTGTTGTGTGTGTGTGTGTGTGTGTGTGTGTGTGTGTGTGTGTGTGTGTGTGTGTGTGTGTGTGTGTGTGTGTGTGTGTGTGTGTGTGTGTGTGTGTGTGTGTGTGTGTGTGTGTGTGTGTGTGTGTGTGTGTGTGTAGTGTGTGTGTGTGTGTGTGTGTGTGTGTGTGCTGTGTGTGTGTGTGTGTGTGTGTGTGTGTGTGTGTGTGTGTGTGTGTGTGTGTGTGTGTGTGTGTGTGTGTGTGTGTGTGTGTGTGTGTGTGTGTGTGTGTGTGTGTGTGTGTGTGTGTGTGTGTGTGTGTGTGTGTGTGTGTGTGTGTGTGTGTGTGTGTGTGTGTGTGTGTGTGTGTGTGTGTGTGTGTGTGTGTGTGTGTGTGTGTGTGTGTGTGTGTGTGTGTGTGTGTGTGTGTGTGTGTGTGTGTGAGTGTGTGTGTGTGTGAGTGTGTGATGTGTGTGTGTGTGTGTGTGTGTGTGTGTGTGTGTGTGTGTGTGTGTGTGTGTGTGTGTGTGTGTGTGTGTGTGTGTGTGTGTGTGTGTGTGTGTGTGTGTGTGTGTGTGTGTGTGTGTGTGTGTGTGTGTGTGTGTGTGTGTGTGTGTGTGTGTGTGTGTGTGTGTGTGTGTGTGTGTGTGTGTGTGTGTGTGTGTGTGTGTGTGTGTGTGTGTGTGTGTGTGTGTGTGTGTGTGTGTGTGTGTCTGCCCCGGGGCGGCTGTGACCACAGATTGTGTCGTGACTGAAGGAGGAGGAGCTGTGAGGTTTTGCACAAATCCAGTGATTCATTCATGACTGAACTGAGTTTGAGTTTGTGAAATAAAAATCAATATTTCTTAAAACTCAAAAGTTGAATCAAGTGGAGGCGAAGTCAGAGGAGACAGAGGGTCAGAGGGGTCAGGGGTCACAGGGGTCAGAGGGGTCAGAGGGGTCAGAGGGGTCAGAGGGGTCAGAGGGTCAGAGGGTCAGGGGTCAGAGGGTCAGGGGTCAGAGGGGTCAGGGGGGTCTGTACCTGACTGGCGGCGGCTGCGTCGTAGCGGGAGGTTTCCGTCCAGCAGCAGAGGAAGACTCTTCCTGCTCTTCTCGGGGGTGAAGGACAGCGCCTCCTGTGGCTCTGGAGGGAAACACACAGACACCGGGTCAAAATATTAAAACAAATATTATATTTATTAAAAACCTCGTTGTTTTTACTGTTTTAAGCGTCTTCGTGTTCTTGGGACTTTTATTTCACAGATGATGTTTCCAGTACTTCTGGTGTTTTTTTATTGTTTTGTTTTTTTTATTATTATTGTAGTAGAGTTAAATTTGGTTTTGAAACAACAAATTTGAAATAAACTAAACTAAAGTAATAGTGAAATAATGTTCTGACCGGACTGTCTCCTTCCTCTGTGGAAGTTGTGCAGATCCTCCAGTCTGGGAGAGGAGCAGGACTTCAGCGCCTCCTGCTGGAACTGAGGAGCTACAACACGAACAACATGAAAACACGAACAACACGAACAACACGAACAACACGAACAACACGAACAACACGAACAACAACGAACAACACGAAAACACGAAAACACGAACAACACGAAAACACGAACAACACGAACAACACGAACAACACGAACAACACGAACAACACGAACAACACGAACAACACGAACAACACGAACAACACGAACAACAAAACACGAACAACACGAACAACACGAACAACACGAACAACACGAACAACAAACACGAACAACACAAAACACGAAAACAACACGAACAACACGAACAACACGAACAACACGAAAACACGAAAACACGAACAACACGAACAACACGAAAACACGAACAACACGAACAACACGAACAACACGAACAACACGAAAACACGAACAACACGAACAACACGAACAACACGAACAACACGAAAACACGAACAACACGAAACAACACGAACAACACGGTCACAAACGTCTCCATGAAAAAAATAACTCTTTATTTTACAGTTTGGATTTGTGATCGTTCTGGAGACGAAGTGGAGACGAGGAGTTGTGCAAAGTCTAAATTTGGATGAAGTAAAAAAGAAATAAAACTCACTTTGGCAGAAGTTGTCTCCCAGAACCTGTCGGGCCTGAAACACAAAGAGAGTCCTGGTTTAGTCCTGGTTTAGTCCTGGTTTAGTTCTGGTTTATTTCTGGTTCAGTCCTGGTTTCGTCCTGGTTTAGTCTTGGTTTAGTCCTGGTTTAGTCTTGGTTTAGTCCTGATTTAGTCTTGGTTTAGTCCTGGTTTAGTCTTGGTTTAGTCCTGGTTCAGTCCTGGTTTAGTCCTGGTTTAGTCCTGGTTCAGTCCTGGTCTAGTCCTGGTCTAGACCTGGTCCAGTACCTTCTGGGGCAGTGACGCTGGGTGGTTTTCTATGATGAGTCTCTTGAGGTAGTGGACCCACAGTCTTTTCTCCTCCTGGTTCTTGGTCTGAAAAAGAAAATCCAAACCTCAAAGTCTGGTCTCTGAGGCTGAGCAGGACCAGGATGTAGGTTTAGGTGTAGGACATAGGGGTTAGTGTGTAGAGGGTAGGGTGTAGGATGTAGGGGTCAGGGCATAAGGGTGTAGGGGTCAGGGTGTAGGCAGTAGGGTATAGGGCATAGCCAGAAGTGTGTAGGGTGTAGGCTGTAGAGTGTAAGGAGTAGGGTGTAGGCTGTAGAACGTAGGGCGTACGCAGTAGGGCGTTGGCAGTAGGTAGTAGGTAGTAGGGCGTAGGCAGTAGGTAATAGGGAGTAGGCAGTAGGGTGTAGGGAGTAGGGTGTAGGGCGTACGCAGTAGGGAGAAGGTAGTAGGAGAAGGCAGTAGGGCATAGGAAGTAGGGAGTAGGTAGTAGGGTGTAGGCAGTAGTGTGTGTAGGGTGTAGTGTGTAGGCAGTAGGGTGTAGGGTGTAGGCAGTAGTGTGTAGTGTGTAGTGTGTAGTGTGTAGTGTGTAGGGCACAGACCTGTACGATGTGCTGCTGTTTGGGGATGCTCTGGTCTGAGATCTTGAAGCACAGAGGATCCTTCAGAGTCTCCACCAGCAGAAGGTTACAGCACTGACAACAAACACACACAAAACACACCGTAAACACCAGCGACGGGCACACGGGCACACGGGCACACGCTGGGAGGGCATCTGACACACGGGCACACGCTGGGAGGGCATCTGACACACGGGCACACGCTGGGAGGGCATCTGACACACGGGCACACGCTGGGAGGGCATCTGACACACGGGCACACGCTGGGAGGGCATCTGACACACGGGCACACGCTGGGAGGGCATCTGACACACGGGCACACGCTGGGAGGGCATCTGACTCACAAAGATGTGCGTGCTGTAGACGAAGTGGTCGAGGCGTTTCTTGGCGATGAGGAGCATTCGGTCGAAGAGGAAAAACGCTCGCTCCTTCTTCACCCGGTGGACGCGGAAAGAACCTTCCAGAACCAACTCCCCGAAACCAGACAGATCCGGACCAGACCAGTTCACCAGCAGAGCCTCGACCTCCTAAACACACACACACACACACACACACACACACATACACACACACACACACACACACACACACACATACACACACACACACACACACACACACACACATACACACACACACACACACACACACATACACACATACACACACACACACACACACTACACACACACACA